GAGACAGCACAAGTAGGAAAAGATCACATACAGGGGGGTGGAGAACCATCAGAATCATGCTGACTTCTCCGAAGAGACCTAACAAAGCAGGAGAGAATGGACAAAGATTTCCTAGTCCGGAACAAATACAACTGTCAACAAAAAATAATCTACCTGCAAAGATTATTTGTATTTGAGAGAAAATCAGAATCAAATAGCAAGAATAACTAGATAGAATATGTATCACAAAACCAGCTCTGCAAAAGTTCTTAGAAATGCATAGTCCGGACAAAAATGTGGCAAATCACAAACAAAAGCAGGCAAATAGAGTCTCCAAACTAATAGTGCACATCAAGACAACTTAAATTGGATACAACACGAAACAAACAATCACTGTGAGGGCAAAATGCAAAACTCTCAATTTTAATTCATCACAATTGGTCTTAAATTCACCATCAAAGACAGAGATTAATAGATTGGTCATCAAACAAGACAACATCTAGTTGCCTACAAGAAACGCAGCTAACCAGAACGGATGCAAGAAACTGAAAGTGATGGGATGGAAAAAAGATTTTTCACGCAATAGACGAGAAAAAAGTGGGGTAGAAAAAAACTATCTAATTTCAGATGGAAAAGATTTCATTCAATTATCAAAAGAGACAGGGGAGGATTTTATACTGGTGAAAGGATGTTCCATAGAAGCAATCACCATCATTATTGTTTATGACGAATCTTAATGCACCTAGTTTCGTTTAAGCAATTACTTACAGACTTAAAGGAAGACATAGGACACGCACAATTCTTGTAGGCGATTCAACACCTCTAACAAAATGGGACCTGTCAGAAAACAAAAAAATCAACAAGAAAACAGAGCTCACACAAACAATAGAAAATATATTAGTAGACAAATATGAATTTTTATCTAAGGCACAGGACTTATTACATTTTCGCAGCGGTGCATGGCACTTTCCAGAATCGATCACATGATGGACATAAAGCGCATTAACCAATTCCTAAAACATTGTATCGTGTACCTGTACCCTTCAGACCCCAGGAGTGAAACTGGAAATCAACAACTCAAAATCAGGGAGTTTAGGCACTCTTGGAAATGAAACATATGCTATTGAAGAACAATGGGTAAAGAAGAAATTAAAGATGAGATCAAAAATTCTTGGAAACAACGAAAACTCTGATTAAACATTCCAAAACTTGTGGGCACCGAAAGCAGTGTAAGAGGTGATTTCATTGCATCTGAGCGCTTGTCAGGCCCCAAGGAAAGACGTCAAATACAGGAAAACTAACCACACACTCCAGGAACTGGAAAAACAGCAGCAGAAGAGTCCACGCACAATAGGAACAAGATATCATTCAAAACAAGGAGAGGAGGTAAACAAATCGAAATCAAAAAACTTTAACCTAAATCAACAAATCAAAAAAGTTGGTTTTTTGAGAAAATAAACAAAAATAGGAATCCACTGGCCGATTGACAAAAAAAAAACAAGAGAAAGTGAAATAATAGCATTAAAGATGAAAAAGGCAACATTAACAACAGACACTGCAATATTAAGATAATAAATTAGTAATTATACAAAGAAAACTTGTACTCAAAATTGAGGACACAAGAAATAGAAAAAGTTCCTGGACTCCACACTTACAAAATCAGTCGGAGGCAACTTGCAGAATTAAAAATAAACCATAACGAGGAGAGAATTGAAACATCATTCAAGGATCTCCCCAATGAAAAACGACAGGCCAGACGATTCACTACAGAATTCTACAAACATTGAAAGAACTAACCCAATTCCTCTACAAGCTCTTCAAATACAATAGAGGAGGAGCAAACCTCCCAATATTCTATGAAGCAACATCACTTAATCCAAAACCGGACAGAGAGCATCAGAGAAGGAAAACTTAAGACTATCTCTTGATGAAATTGATGCTAAATTTTCAACAAAAATCTAGCCAATAGAAATCAAAAAATTCATCGACAGATCATTCATTCGGATATCAAGTAGGTTTCATCCCTGGAATGCAGGGATGGTTCACATTCGGAAATCCTTAAATGTTATAAAAACCATATCCAAAAACTGAAAAACAAGAACCACATAATAGTTTCAATAGAAAAAAAATGCAGATAGAATAAAAGCTTTCGGGAAAAATCAAACACTCTTCATTGGTAAAAACTTAGCATGTAGGGCATAGATGGGAAAATCCAAAACATAGTTTAAGATATTTATGAAAACCCAACCGCCAGTATCATATGATGGATGAAAAGTAGAACCTTCCCACTGAGATCTGGAACAAGAAGGGTTCCCGCGATCAATGTATTCAAATAGTCTAGAGGTACTTGCAGAGGGATAAGAAATGAAATAGAAATCAAAGCATAGTATAGGAAACGAAGAAGTCAACGCTTCACTATATGCAGATGGACATAATCCTTACTAGACAAACCAGGAGAAGCAATTACAGAAGCTGCTAGCACGTTTACGGAGTGTGCAGAGTGGCGGGGTCAAATTAACGAAGATAATAACAAGCCATAGTGTACGCACATAAACAGATGGAAGGAGAACTAAAAACAGCGATTACCATTTCAAAATAGCAGAGAGAAGTATGATGTATTGGAATAATTCTAACAAAAAGCGTAGGACGTAGGAGACTATTCGAAGAAAACTAAAAACTATTTTAAAAAGGGGAAGGAAATTGAACAACCTCAAAAGCTGGAATAACATCCCGTGCTTTCCCCTGCGATAGGCATATTATTTCATTAAAATTTTATACTACACAGCAATATACATTTTCAGCAATTCAGTCCAAATTGCCAAAATTCTTCACGAACTGGATTACATGAATTAAATGTTCACTGGAAAACACAAAAAATCCTCGATAGCTAGAACATCTGAAAAATAAGTGATTAGCAGGGGGATCACCAATCCGGCTTGGACATACTATTGAGCAGTGTTTCAAAAAAGTGGTTACTGGAACTAAGACAGGAAAAGGAAGATAATGGAATAGAATAGAAGCAAAAAGGGAACCAACAAATACAGCCAATTAATTTTGACAAAAGACCAATGACAGTAAGCAAGTGGGAGAAGGCTTTTTGTAAATGTTGTTGGACAATGGCTGTGATAGCTGTTAGAAACAATAGGATAGACCAATCTATCCCATACACTAAGATCAATCTACTGATTAAAAGACCTAAACTACATCAGAAACCCTCAAACTCTTGTCAAGAAGAAAATGTAGGAAATAACTGCAAGACTAGGAGTAGGTTCGATTTCTAAGAAGGACACAAAAGCAATGCAGTTGAGAACAGAATAACAAATGGGACTCATCAACTAAGAAGCTTCGTACAGCAAGGGGAATACAATAACCAAAGTAAAAAAAGCAACCCAGAGTGGTGGAGAAGATCTTTGGAAATGATATAGGCGAGAGGGGGCTACTTTCCAGGATATACAAAGATTTAAAAAACAAAAAAAACAAAACAAAAGCAACTCACGAAATGGGCAAGGGAAAATGGGAACATTTCACAAACGGAGCAAGTCCAAAATGCAAACAAACATATGAAAAAATGTTCGTCTAGAATTAAGGGGAAAATCAACTTAAATGATGAGGTACACTAAACCAGTAAGATTGGCCAATAAACAAGAACAACGACGTTGTGGCGAGGATTGCGGGGAAAAGGGAACCTACTCCTATGCTGGTGGAGACTGCAAATTGGTACAGTTATATGGAAGGAAATCAGTCTGGTGGAGAAAACTAAATAACTTCGAAATGCATTCCATTTGACAGCAATAGCTCCTAGGAATAATCAAAAAACACTGTTTTACGACAAACCAATGCATCCCATGTCATTGCAGACAATCAGGAATGCAAAACATGGAAGCACCGAATGCCATACTAGAGATTGGATAAGATAGCTTTGGTTAATTTACCAATGGAATACTACTCAGATGGTTAAAAACAAAAGAGTTCTTTGTGGTTAATGGGCACAACTGGAAAACTATAATGCTAAGGGAAATGGAGTGAATCCCTGCAAAAGATTAGATACGCAGGTTCGGTTGATTTAACTGTAAGTTATTGTCTTGGTTGTTTGTTATTTTTTGAAGTGTCATTGATGCTGTTCAACCCAGATGTTTGCGAAGGGAAGAATGGAAACTTGCATTATTTTTAACATTATTGTTTACCAATACTATGTCAATTAATTCTAATGTTGTAATGATACTGAGTCTTGTTGGGGCTTTTTAACCGACGGATCTTATATTCTGTTAGATACTTGACCATAGAAGGTGTCAGGAGGCACCTGAACTTATTGGACAATAGAAGATGAACTTTTGCTAGGCATGTGTATTTGCAAGCAATGTAATTCAACTGAACTTGAATATGGTTATGCAACATGGTGGAGGAAATCCACATGGGGGGGGGGGGGGTATGGGGGGGGTGGGGGGAATCCAGGCCTATAAAACTGTACTAACCAATCGTTTAAGCAACAATAAAAAAAAAAAAAAAAAAAAAAGAAAGTGAAACCACTGGGATTCGAACCAGTAGTCCAGTGTGAGAAGCTAGTGTTATTGCAGATAATCACTTAACTTGCTGAGCCACCGTGCAGAACCCTGTTGTGTAACTTTGCATCCACCAGGTGGAAGGGAGTTCAGTTCCTGATGGAGGTCAAAGATGAAAGAGTTTACATCTCTTTCTGAATCCTCCCCACCTTCATAAGGCTTGACAAGCAGGCAGGTAGGGAAGGAGAGGAAGAGTGAGAGATGAATGAGAGAGGGTAAAGAAGCCGGGAACACCAATGACATTGGCAGAAAGAGGTCCACTGTGATAGACCTGAGCACAGCTGTGGGCACAATCCTGGGACAGGTGCGTTGATGGATAAAGCAACAGCCCTGCCTCACGAGGGATCCCCCAACACCCCTGATGTTGTGATTCTGCTGGTCCCGGCCTCTCACTTCTGGGTGTGGGCACCAGACAGGAAGTATTAACAGGCAGCCACTAACCAGAGGATTCTGTGTTTGCAGTTCAATGTGAAGAAATCCACAGAGCCCGTCCAGCCCCGGGCCCTGCTCAAGTTCCCAGACATGTACGGCCCCAGGCCGAATGTGACCACTCCAGAGGTCATCAACTATGCAGACTACACGCTGAGAACCACAGAGGAGCAGCCAGCACCTGCCAGCCCCCAGGCCTCGCATGATAGTCGCCTCAAGCACCAGGTCACGGAGGAGTTGTTCATCCTTCCTCAGAATGGTAGGTGTCTCCTGTAACCCTCCCTTCATGAATGGCACACAGTGGAGGGGGTGGTGGTGGAGGAGGGGTGTTACCATATGTGTGGCCTGGTTGGGAGCTGTCCAGGAACCCCATGCTGTGGCGTTTGCTCTGGGTGAGCAGGTAGTCCAAGGTTTGGGGATGTCAGTCCTGTAATCCTGCTTACGGGCTATAGGTTGTTTCTGCTTGAGGTGTCCAGCTGTTGTCGTTATAGACAGACAGACCACCAAGAATCACAGTGAAAAGCATGGGCCCTTATCTACAGCAAGTGTAGCATGAGTCATGATGCAATTCTTTCTGGGTCCTTGTCTCCTCATCATAAAGTGGAATCACACTATCACCTGCCTAACATGGTTATTATAAAATCCAAATAGAATAATGCAGAGAAAATGCCTAGCTCAGGGCCTGGCATGAAGACCATCTATACAAGAGGTGTATTTATTGCTTCCATTCTCCTTTTCTCCAGCCTCTGTATTCTGAATGCAGCCCTTTTATGCTTATAGAGCTGGTGCTGGATGCAGGGGCAGGCAGGAAGGGCAGAGACCCTCGTCCCTTACCCAATGGGGCATGGAAGCTTCATAGGAAGCCAAGCATCAAAGCAGGAGGATAGACTGCTGTATGTTCTGGGGTTTCCTTCTGTGTGGTTGGCGAGGAAGACAGTGAGATAAGAAGGAACCTCACGACTTTGACATTGGCAGTTCTCTCAGTGTATCTTCTTGCTCACACCAGTCCAGAACCATAGTGATAAGCCTGGAATTTAAAGAATAAACAGTCTGATTAACTCCTGGTTGGCTTTCGTACTCCAGGTTTTCCCATCCATGTGTTAACCACATTGACATCAGACCCATTCAACAACTCAGCACTCATAGTTACGGCACCATTTCAGACCTGTGTGTCCCTTCGATGTGCCCGGGTTCTACAGCTGCCTCTGACTTCTGAGTACAGCTTCCAGCTAATGCAGACCCTGGCAGGCAGTAGTTGTGTCCCTGCCACCCAGTGGAAAACCTGGATTGCATTCCTAGCTCGTGGCTTTGACCTGATCCAGCCCTGGTTGTTGTGAGAATACAGGAAGTAAATCATGGGAGGGAATGCTCTTTCTCTCTCTCTCTCTCTCTCTCTCTCTCTCTGTGTGTGCACGCGCACCTTCCTCTCAATAACTTTTTAAATTTAAACTTGCTTAATACTTGAGAGCTTACTATTGGGTGGGAATGATTTATATGAGGGCCCTTGTGAGTGGTCATTATCATCATCATAATCATAGCAGGGGGTTATCATCATCATCATTACGCTGCTCATCATCATCATCATAGCAGGGGTGCCCTTTCCTGTGACCCCCAATTTCTCAAAGCTCAGATGAAGGCATAATTGGACCCTCTCTGGTAAGGAGAGTAGAACCGGTTCATGCTGGATCTGGGAAGAATTCAGGACACTTCCGTTAATGGCCTACCTTTTGTGGTTCTCACCCCCACCCCAAAAGGCAACAGCCTGCTTCTGATTTCATAGAAACCTACCAAGAGTTCCTGGTTCCTATAACCTGACGACAGGCAAGGGTGTGTACAGGATCCAGGTGGTTTATTCTTGACCCCCTAATGTGCCAGATGTGTCTGCTCTCCCAGCCACTCTCCTCACCATTCATTGTACAGCACAAGCACCCATTCCTGAAGCCCCATCTGCTGCTACTGCCTGGCCTTGCCTGCACCCCACTGAGAACAGCAGCAGAGTCAATTTGCTCTTGTTGCACCTGAGCCAAACCCCCCTAGATAAGGGTGGGGGCTCTAAACTTCTTTCTTTCAATTCCTGAATGCTTTAAAATAGCTGATGCTGGGTCTGATCAAAAGCCAGGAGCCAGGGACACAACCCAGGTCTCTCATGTGGGTGACAAGGATTCAACCGCTTGAGCCATCATTCACTGCCTCACAGGGTGCGCATTCACAGGAAACTGGAAGGCTGGAATGCAGGCAGGACTCGAACCTGGGAACCTGATCCTATACGGGATATTCTCTTCTTCGCTGTTGGATCAGATGCCCTGCCTGGGGTTGGTGTTGATGTTGAAGGCTAAAACAACCTTTGAGTTGAGTCAGGCTTATCCCTTCTCACATTGGCATTACTGCCATAGCCTGTGAATGTCTCTGGGGGCCACACGGATCCTGTGCAGCCACAAATCCAGTTTCATGCATATCACTCCTGATCTGTCTGTCCCTCCTTAGATTCCCAGGAGACATTTTTCACACTTGCAGAGACTTCATAATGAACCATTTAGCAGCTGATTAGCCCTCTAGATGTCTATCCTTGCAATGCATTCTGAGAATCAGACATTTAATTCTAGTTTGCTAAAAGTGGAGTGTGCTGCAGCTGCTGGGTCCTTTTAGTGTATATACCGCCTCTGCCTGGTGAGAGTGTTTCCAGATGGCGGGCTGCTCCATGCAAGCAGCGTGAGGAGGGAGAGCAATGCTTTTAGAAATTTCTGAGCTAATGTTGATGAACACACTCAGCAAAGAGACACTGCGCTGCACTCCACTCCAGTCAAGTGCCCTTCTCCTGACCTTGCCCCCAACATCTTCTCCTGACTTAATTCTAAGCTTGCCTCTGGCTTCTGCCCGCAAGGACACAGGGACTGTATGGGCTGCTGTGTGACGGGTTCTGTGATGGGCTGCTGCTGATGGTTAGTCTCTCCAAGGGAGCTCACTGGGGACCAGGCCCTGAACTGAAAAGATTGTCCGCCTTATTTCATAGCCCTCAGTGAGCCTAGGAGACACTGCTGCCATGCCCATCATCAAGATAAAGAAACTGAGGCTCAAGAGGTCCAGTAACTTGTTCAAAGACACCAGCTACTATGCTGGCCCCAAAGCTCACAACCTGACTTCCAGTCCATGATAACCCCTTGACGTGTCATGCCCACTGTCAGTGGTGTCACCCCTATGTAGCCATGGTGTGTGTGTGGCTAAAGGCTTTGGGTTTGGGTTAATGACATAGAGATGGGAAAGGGGAGATGGGGGCTGCAAGGCCACAACCTGGGTGGCTGCTATGGCTTTGTCTCTTGTTATAGGTGTGGTGGAGGATGTCTGTGTGACTGAGACCTGGAACCCAGAGAAGGCTGCTAGCTGGAATCAGGCCCCCAAACTTCACTATTGCCTGGACTATGACCGGCAGAAGGCTGAGCTGTTTGTGACGCGCCTGGAAGGTACTGCTCTTGTCCGACGCCCATGGGGCAGAGGGTAATGGGAGCATCCACAGCTGGAGGCACACTGGGCTTGCATCCCCCAAACAGATCCCCCAACATATGACAGTCATACACAGACTCCTTTCTCTGTCCCTTGTAACAAGCCCAGCTGAGGACTCTGTGGTTAGATGCCTCTTGAATCAAGTCTCTTCCAGCCTCAGTGGCTCTGAAATCTCCTTGGCTCCCTTGTCTCCCGCCTCTAGCAAGTGGAAGGGACTGAGACCAAGGAGTACACAACTCTTCCTTAATAGCCTGCACCTGACCTTGCCAGGCCTTTTGTCTCACATCCCATGGGCTGTAGCCATGTGGCCTCACCTCCTCGCTGGTGATCTAGCCAGATGCCTGGGAAAAAGTGGAAATGAGTTCTTAGTGAAGTCAGCTGTCTGCCAGAGGCTGGGCTTTGTGCGAGACACCAAGAGGTGTTGTGAACAGTTAGCAAAGTGTCTACCTTCCAAAGCGTCGGGGACTGGAGGAGTCAGGAAGCCCTCCTTCTCCCTGACCTGGAAGTTTGCTTTAGCCTCTGCAACCAAAGCTAAGACTGCAAAATAATCTGGAGCAGCGATGAGGCCAGATCCATTCTGAGTGACTGTTTTTCCCCTTTTCATTGTCTTTTGATGCTTCTAAGCCCTTTCATACACTTCATTTTGTTTCATCTTCACAATAGCCCCATTTTACAGATGAGGGAACTGAGGTTTAGCAGTTGTTACGACTTGTCCAGTGCCCCTCTACCCATGGCAGAGCTGGGGCTGAAACTCCCCTAGCCTCAACGGAAGGGCCCTGGGGCCACCATGTGTTGGTCCCTGTTCTCCCAGGCAATCCAGCTGAAACTGACCCCTTGAGACCTTCCAGCTCTCAGGGCCTCCCTGCCTGGCCAGTCCACTGTGTCCCAGGTGGTCAGCCTTGGGGTCTATCACACGTCCACGGTCATGACTACAACCCTCCACAGGATCAGGTGTCTCCCCTCCTCTTGTCCCCAGTGCCAATCTGTGCTGCTTTGTCTTTGCAGCAATGACCAATGGCCACGATGGAGGCTGTGACTGCTATGTCCAGGGCAGTGTGGCCAACAGGACCGGCTCTGTGGAAGCCCAGACAGCGCTGAAGAAGCGGCAGCTACACACCACGTGGGAGGAGGGACTGGCACTCCCTCTGGCAGAGGAGGAGCTGCCCACAGCCACCCTGACCCTGACTCTGAGGACCTGTGATCGCTTCTCTCGTCACAGTGTGGCTGGGGAGCTCCGCCTCGGCCTGGATGGTGTGGCCGTGCCTCTAGGGGCTGCCCAGTGGGGTGAGCTGAAGACTTCCGATAAGGTAGGCATTCCTCTGTGCCAGGATGGGTGAAACATCTGGCTCCTGGTGAGGTCTCCCTTGGCTCTATCACAACAAGAAAGAGCTCGGGGCATGAGGAGGTCTCACTTAATGACTCCACTCCCCCCCATGACTAAGTCACTCTGAGAAAATCCATCTTAATCCCTTCCAAGAGCAGTGTGGTTCATGAGCTAATGAGTTGGGTCTGGGGTGTACCACCACATGGGGAGCTTGGCTTCCAGCACATGAACAAAACACATGCAAACGGCAGTGCTTCCTGAATCATCCACGAGAGAGAGACAGAGAGAGGACTATTCCATCTACAGACCAGGAGCTGAGTCTTACAGCAGCATGGTTTGCTTCACAGGGTCCCCTAGCCAGGACACCACCAACTCTACCGAGTAAAACCTGCTGGTACAAATCACAGGTGCACCCGATGGAACCAGATTGTTCTAAGGCAGTGTGTGATTTGAGGTGGTGCTGGAATCACAGATGGAACTTGGGGAGAGGGACCCAACACTTGGCTTCTAAGGCAACTTCCTCTAGAGATGCATGGACTCCCCCACTTTGAAGCTCTGGTCCAGCCCTCAAAGGGCTTAAATCTGCCCATCTAGTCCCACTACCATCCCCTATCCCAATACAAACAGAAATTATCAACTTACTCTTCAAGCACCTTGACCAGCTTCTACAGTGTCCTGGGCCTTGTGGAGCCAGGAGCTCGAGTCCTGGCCATAGCAGTAATGAACACAATCCTCAGGGTTTGTCCATCCTGCCAGTCAGTCCATTCACTGCAGCTGCACCTGCTCCATAGGTACCCTCTCACTCATGCTTGGACCATTCAGTGCACCTGGGCGCCATCTCAGAGCATGTGGCATGGAGTCACAAGTTGGAGGTAACCCTGTGGTGGTGATCATGCCAGGGAACCCCTCATCCAGGTGGGAGTGTGGGCAAGTTGGTGCCAGCTGGGTGGAGCCTAAACACATGGCAGCCCAGGTGCTTTTTCTCTGGGCAAGTATGGGTTAACAGAGGTGGCAGTGGTGCCCGCCCCACCTCGGTCCCCTCCTCCTCCTCACACCAGTCCTGGCTGGAAGACGCTCAGCAGAAAGTAGCAGCCAAAAGTGGCTCATGCGTCACCAGGGGCCACAGTGCAACCCACTGAGAGTGCAGCCTTGAATGATTCATTGAGAACCTTGGGGAAGGAGGGAGAGTGAGAGAAGAAGCCAGAAAGAGAGAGGATTTTGGTCAGCAGCTGTTTAAAGTGGCAGTGCTGATGTATGTCAAATACTTCTGTTTCTCCTAAAAAATCTCTCCATACTCCTGTTTCTGGTCATTTTTATCACAGTAATGAAAGTATCTGAGAATAAAAAAAAAATAAAAAAATAAAGTGGCAGTGCTAAGAAGGGGCAGGGACTGTTGCCTCCCCTGTAGGGACTCTGACCTGTCCTCATAGAGCCCAAATCTGATTGTTGAGCAGCTCCAGCACAGGCCATTCCTGTACCTTCGAGAAATGATCTTGAGTCCAACCCAGCTCTGCTGTCACCCTGCTGGCTGCCAGGAACAGATCACTGTGAAATGAGAGGCAGAGGCAGACAGCACTGGGAAGGGATTGGAGAACAGCAGATTCAGGCCCTGGGCTTTGGCTCTGGTTGAAACCTCTATCCAGGTCTCAGTCACTGGCTGGGGAAACTCAGACGTGGAGAGGTAGGTCCCTGAGAGTGAAAGGTGCCGAGACCTCAAGTGGGAGCCCCGTTAGGATACTTGTCAAGACAAAAATAAAATGGCCAGCTTTTTTTTTTTTTCCTTTCACAAATTTCTGCCAAAAGTTCATGGGGAAAAAAAGGAAATGAAAAAGAACTGAAGAATATAATATTTATTGGAATGTAGAAAACTTTGAAATCTATCCGCAGTTTTTCTATAAAACACAATTCCACAAATCCTTTGAAGACTGAGTGCATGGATTTTAAAATCTTAAATATCAAAAAGAAATGGGCTTCTTTTTAAATCCCATTTTCCATGAACTTTTGGAAGTACCTCGTGAATTATGAAGCACCTGCTATGTGCAGGGGCAGGTGATGCTTGCTGTGTTCAGTCTTCTGTGGAGTGACAGTCCGGAGGTATATACAATGGAATCGTGCCCCGCATGGAAGAGGTGTGTGAGGAGGTATGATTAGCTGGAATCTTTCATGTCCTTGCCAAGGATCCTCAAAGCTCCTGAACCACCAGGCTGGGTGAACACCTTGGCTCATATCAGAGACATCTTTCTTGGATGCGAGTTGTAAATCCAAGGCAGGACAGGAGTGGGGACGTGGCTACCCATCACTTTCAACCAGCCTCATTCCCCAAGTCCAGAAAAAATGCTCCCCACTTTAATAAGCTCATGAAAAAGCTGGTGCCCTTCCTTGATGTTGGTGACCACAGTACCATGGTTCCTAGTAATGTATGCAGGACACTCTTCTTAAATACGTACATCATTCCTTGCATTGTTACAACAACCGCATATGGTGAAGGTACCAACAAAGGCTCTCAGAGTAGCTAAGTTCAACTCCCCACTGACCCCCAGAAACCTGACGGTCAAGTAGTGATCCTCACCTGGAATGCCCTGGAGCATCCCAGGAGCTTGGAGGGACAGACAGGGGGCAGTAAAGGAGGAAACGACTTCTGGCTGACTGCCTCTGCCACGCCCTGACTGGCATCTCTTTGCTCTGTTTTATGTGCTGGGTTTGAATGGACAATCAGAAAGTCACTTACATTCACCAGCTAATTGCTATGGCTGGCAAATGTCCACGGAGAGCTCCTTGGTATCTGGCTCCCATTGGGTGGTGAGGATGGAGAACACAGCACTGATGGGCAAATGGTTTCTAGGATGCTTGTTAGGTGGAGGCCCAGCGTGACCCCAATCTCAATGTCAGTGGGTGGGACAGAAGCCCCCTTCCCAGTGCATGGTCTCCTGTGTGTCTCTTTTTGCATTTCAGGAGTCTTCTGCAGGGAGCGGAGAGATTCTTTTGTCTATCAGTTACCTGCCAGCTGCCAACCGCCTCCTGGTGGTGCTGATTAAAGCCAAGAACCTCCACTCTCACCAGTCCAAGGAGCTCCTGGGCAAGGGTGAGTGAGGTGCCAGGACAGAGAGCCAGGACATGTGTGCAGAGGGAGCAGCCCCTGGGAGGACATGGACACAGTTAAGCAGGGAAATGACAGGTGCGTGTGCATAAGGAGTCACTCTCAGCAGGGTCCTCTGGCCTAGGCCCACAACTCACTCAAAATGCTGCACCAAGATCCAGGCAGGAGATCCCTGGACTTTCTAACCTTGAAGAGCGACTTGGAGAACCATTTGCCCTAACCATCATTCTAACAGAAGCCAAGAGCCAGGCAATAGCCAGGGTGTGGAGGGACCTGGGCTACAGGGCAAACTGGACCCTGTCCTTATCACCCAACTCTGGCTGGGCCACCTCAGACAGGTGTCAGGAAGCCCAGCCTCCCCTCATCCCAAGGTCTCTGCTAGCTGCCACCCCTACCCCGGACTCCTCTCTTTTCTCAGCAGCTGGGGTGTGGGTGACAGCAGACGGTGTGTAGGCCCTGGAGCCAGGGCCTGCGGCTTCAGGCGTCTGTGCCCCATATACCCAAATAAGTTCCTCGGCACCATTTCAGAAGCCCTGGGCACAGCTCCCAAGTCCAGGGACCAAGGAAGGAAAGCAGCTTCAGCTCACTAGGTAGTACCTGGCCTGCCAACTAAGTGGTCATACCAGGTTAGCAAGTCATCTCTATTTATAGCAACACACAAATAGAGAACGGCTGCTGTGCTCAGCAGCCTGGAGTCCATGATTTGGGGTGAATGCAATTAGAAGTTCATCCAACTAGCAGATTAAGTGCCCCCTTTGCAGCCCCTCTGGACAACTCCGTACCTTTCTCATGGGAATTATTCTGACTCTCTGTAATCTCCGTTGACAAAACCAATGATGCACCCTGGGCTGGCTGTGATACCACTTGGTGCAAAGTCACCAGCCCTCCTGCTGGAGCTTGGGGAACCTGGACTAATGAAAAAGTGTTCAAGTCTTTCCCAGACTTTGTTGTGAAATGAAAGTGCCTCTAGGAACACATCTGTAGGCTTCTGAGGGAGAGGAGTGGGCAGCTGTAATGGTGCTAAAGGGATAATGTATTTATTTGTGGATTTTAAAAGAAGAGAGAGAAAGGGAGAGAGAGAGAGAGAGAGAGAGAGAGAAATTTCTATGTGCTGATTCATCCTCCAAGCAACTCAAGCAGCTGGAGTTGGGCCAATCTGAAACCAGGATCCTTAACTCCATCTGAGATTCTCATGTATGTGGCAGACCCCAAACACTTGGACAATTTTTCCACTGCTTTCTGGTACAGGAGCAGAAAGCTGGGTTGGAGGTGGAATGGCTGGGACAGGAACTGATACTGAAATACTAGAGTCCAGGCAGTGGCTTAACCTGCTTGGACACAAGGCAGGTCCCAAGAGGAGCCTGATAATAGACACAAACTCTGGAAGGGGAGGGTTAATGAAGATGAATATATGAGGATGTCATGATTTCCTGGTCTGAGTTGAAAATCAAGCGATAGGACATCTGAGCTGTCATGTGTTCTTGCTTTAATCTAGAGTTAGGAAGCTCCCAGGAAGGGTTCATGGCAGGGGTGGCTTCAACACGTGCCACCCAGCAGCTCATGCTACATATCATGGGAAAAATTGAGTAACCCTTACCCAAAACTGTGCCATCTGAAGACTCCAAACTCCAAAGCTATTTGACCATTGATGGAACACCACAGGCAGAAACTTTCACAGCCTGGAAATTTGCTTGGTGATCAAAATAATCAGAAAAAAAAATATTGTATGGAATTACTTTCAGTGTATCTTCTAACATGTATCTGAAACATGAGTGATTTCTGTATTCAGACTTAGGTATCGCACCCAAGGTAACTCATGAGGGACACACAGCAATCTCTTCAAATGTGTAAACTCCCCAAATTCAAAAATGTTTTTGGAGAAGTGATAATGGACTAATACTGTCCATTTCCCACAACTGAGTGTGAGTTCTGTCGTGTATATTTTTAGCTCCAGGACACTTCCACATGGCAAGCATTTAACAATTATTGCAGGTCTAGCACTATGACATAGTGAGTTAAGTCTCTGATTGGGGGTGCTGGCATCCCATATGGGCACTGGATTGGGGCCAGACTGTTCCACCTCCAATCTAGTTCCCTGTTAATGCATGTGAGAAAGCAATAGAGTACACCCTAAGTCCATGGGCCCCTGCACCTACATGGGAGACCCAGAAGAAACTGTTGACTCCTGGCTTAAATCAGGCCCAACTCCAGTCATTGTGACCATTTGGGGAATGAGCTAGTTGATGAGAAGGTCTTCTCTGCTTCTCCCTATCTTTCTCTCTCTTTCCATGTGACACAGCCTTTCAAGTAAATAAATAAATCTTTTAAAAAAATGTTGGATGACATATAGTTCAGTGCTGACATGGGTGGGCATGGAGGATAGGTACTGTCCTAAGCCCTAGAAGTTACTTTTTGCCTTCTAGTCTATCTCATGTCTCCTCGCCTTCTTCCTTAGATGTCTCGGTCAAGGTGACTTTGAAGCACCAGGCTCAGAAGCTGAAGAAGAAGCAGACAAAACGGGCCAAGCATAAGATCAACCCAGTGTGGAATGAGATGATCATGTTTGAGTTGCCAGATGACCTGCTGCAGGCCTCCAGCGTGGAGCTGGAGGTGCTAGGCCAGGATGAGGAGGGTCAGAGCTGTGCGCTCGGGTGTTGCAGCCTGGGCCTGCATGCCTCCGGCTCTGAGCGCAGCCACTGGGAGGAGATGCTCAAAAACCCACGCCGCCAGATTGCCATGTGGCACAGGCTGCACCTGTAAACCGCCTCCTCGCTACCATCCTGCTTGGGCATTGCCCCATTCTCTGGTCCCCGCTGTCCTCTGCAGTCTCGTGTTCGTGCCCTGTCCTCTATCTGACACCCAGAAGACAGGACCTGCTTCTTAAATCATCGCATTCCCATCTTGAAAACATCAGCAAGGCAGGACATTGGCATTTCACTGAGAAATACCCTCTGCCATCAAGCAAGACTCTTGTCACCTACACCTCATGAGCAGGCGTTATAGGTGGGCCTAGACCAGATGTGGAAATGCTTCAGTTGTGGAATCTGGGTGTGATGGACAATAATGGAGTTTCTAACAGGAGCCCTTCAAAAGTGATGACAGAGTTAAAGTCACCTGGAAGTTGGGACTGTCTGGGTGGCGGGAAACCTTAGCCAGCATTCAACCAAGCCCTGAACAGTCACCCCAGCACAGTTCTCAAGCTTCTGCGTGTGAGAGATCACCAGCAGCTCCTGGGGCCCCCAGAGCAGATGCCCCAAATCAATTCCCCTGGCCCAAGCCCAGGAGCACTTTTTTTTGTTTCTTTAGCAAGCACCAGGAGATTCTGAGTTAGAGGTTGGGCCACTGCACTTGGAGGATCCCTTCTGCTACACTCCAGGAAGCTTTCCAGCCACACCCATGGTTAAGGTTCCAGCACCAGTTCCATTGCTGGACATATGGGCCATCAGTGGGACATTTGGAGCTTTAAAATGCAATTGTTTTCATGTTTCGTGTTTGAACTTGTACTTTTGAGATCCTGCTTTTGGAGCAGATGTTGTGCTGCTTTTTCTTGAAGAGCTTTATGGTTTTGTGTTATCACCATCAGCCTCTATTCTTCTTGGGGCTGAGAAGCCCCTTTGCTCATTGGGTGGGATTCTGAATGCCCAGTGTCAAGACCACCAGCTTCACCATGGGACCCTCTGAAACATACCTGGTAGCTGCTTCTTGACTCACCAGCCATTTCAGAAGGAAATTTCATGTTTGATTTGTTCTGTTGTGCCTGCCTCCATGGATACAGACATGGGAAAGAACTTCACATAGTAGGAATTTTATAACCATTCCTCCCTCCCTCCGTGTCCAGAACTTAGTATTTTAATCACTGTATAGCAAACAAACAAAAATGCATCCATTCTATTTCAAATGCCTACTTTATTATTCCAAATAGATGCCCCACATTATTGATTCAATCTAAATCTTGAGCCTTATTGAGTGAACAGTGCTCACCTATGAGCCAGAACTCCAGGGGCATTGGCCCACTAGAGCCTCAGTCTGGCCATCTGTAAAAATGAGACCAATGACTCTGGAGCCTGCCTGTGAACTCTCAGATGGATGGCATAGTGTTCACACGCTGTTAGGTGCTCCATGGCTAAGCACAAGTATCAAGTCCACTTACTGCTCATCATTCAGTTAAGGTATTATGTTGAACTTCAAGTTGGTGACTGAGAATGTCCAGAAAGTGCCAGAACCTTCCAGATCCTTCCAGGACCACAGACTCTATATTTGGGCTTTGGGTTAAAAAAAAATGGTTTCAAAAGTTGGTGGAAAGATTATATGAGTTTCTCACAAACTCTTGGATGCCTCCTACACTATTATTCAATAGTGTAGCTCTTCGGATGTCAGCTCAGACCCCTGGTCTAAGGAGGAAGTTCTGGGCAAGATCAGCCAAGTCTCCCCTCCTCCAACAAGGCAGGTCCTTCCTGGCTCTCCCTGGGAATCTGAGCCAGAACCTTAGAACCACATTTCATCATTTTTCCTTTCTGTACAGAAATAGAAGACCCTTAGTAATAACTTCAGCCCACTCTGAAGAAACAGAAAAAAAAATCCATCTCTGTTTTAGCTAATCAGAAACTTTGATCTCTAGGGTTGAAGAGCCCTTGCCAGGTTCCTTTTCTCCCACTCCTTTCACAAGTGAAACACTGGTTAGTGGCTTCTTAGAAAGTGTCTCTTGGATTCCCAGCTCTTCTTTTTTGTATAGCTTGATACCAAGAGGACGAATAGTCCCCATGTGAGTCAACCAGCATTCTCTTCTTGGCAACATCTGCTAGTCTAGTCTAGAAGAGTTGGGATTCTGGATATCAAACCTTTTGACTTGAAGTATTTAGGTCGAATCTATGTACTTCTTCCTAATAAACTTGCGATCCTGCTTGATAGTCTCACCACCAAAGGACATTTGAGGTAAGCTGGGCAGGATTCTGGATCCTAGGGTATCAAGTCCTTCCGGTCATTCCATCACAAGACATCCATTTCTTTGGATCTCAATATCTTTGTCTTCCAGAATCCAAGCTTGAGGATTGGGCCATCACCTCACCTGGCAAGGATGTACAGAGTAAGCAGGCTTTGTAGAGGGTTTGACTCTGTATTCATTTGGTTATTCCAAGCCTGGGAGAGACCTGTCTCGTGGGTGTTCGATAAATACATGTTGAATGCACAAGGGATGGATGGGGTGCTGAGTAGAAGAAGCCACTTGAAATGATAGAGAGTTGAGCTGAGCTCTCAGTAGTAAAGACATCAGTCGGACACCATAGTGGTTGGCCTAGAAATGTGTGACGTAAGTCTCAATCAAAAGTGAATCTAAGCACATCAAAGCTATCCTGGTAGATATTGTGAACAAAATAAGGGAGGGAAATTGTACTTTTCCACCGAAACTCTGTCTTTGTGTGTTTTCAATTACTCAGAGATGTCAAATTGCCAAATGGGAAACTTCACTAATCCACACCAAGTTCCCATGTATCAGACAGACACACTTGTGATTTACTAGCAAAGGAGAGTAATTGGGCTGGTGTGACCACACTAGAGCATTAATGAGGGCTGGTGTGACTACACCAGATCATTGTTGAGAGGAATGCCTTGTAGTTGGTCAGGGAAAAGCATGTGACAGAGGTGAAAATACAATAAGAGACCATCTCAGACTGAGCAGTTGTCCTGAAGGTGACTTGATCCCTTCATAGGCATGAATATGGGGTTCATGCATTCATTCATCTGGGCCTCCACATCCTGCATCCAGTCAGATCATTTGTGTTGAGTGCCTCTGGCTCAAACTCTTCGACCTCATTTCCATTGGACACATGACCTTGCCCTAAACGACAAGTCTTCCACCCATGCAGTAAGACCAGGAAAGCAGGTTGGGAGAGCGAGCGTTCAGATCCATCCTTTTGGGCTGTGGAAGAGTCCTGGATGGAAGGTGGCTGTAGCCGAACCTTAGGAAGAGAGACCTCGTCCTTGTAATTTGTACCCGTGATTTGTTTCCTGTTGTCAAATGTCAAGTGTGTGCTTGTTTTGTAGTCATGAACTGAAGCACAAAAAACTGCATGAGACATCATAGTCATTGTCTGGTGCCACACTTTGGAGTAAAAATTCTTGCAGTGGCAAATAAATAATTTCCAACAGGGTCAGCTGCCTGTTGTTTTGTGTTCTTCCATTTTCTTAGTAGTTCACACATATAAAATGCAGAAGAAACTTCCAAGATCACACATGAACCACTGCTAACCTTGACAAGACCTGATAATTGGAGGCCCCTTCAGTGCATTTTGTCTGGGGTATCATGATCTTGAATGTGGGATTTATCATACCAAACATTTCTTTATGTTTTGATTACATGTATACTACAACACTGTTGCCTTTTTTTTTTAATTTTGCACTCACAGGATGCATTCTACACAGGTATCCTTGCGTGAGCTTCTCTTAAACATAAAACAGAAGTGAGTAGAATTGCTGGATCATAGAGTGAGTATGCACAGGAGACATGTCTGCATGTACTGTGGCCTTGCCTGGGGACTAGATCTAGGGGATTACATGTAGTTGGGAATGCAGGGATTGATGAAGACCTCTTTGCCCTCACTCCTGAGAAGAAAAACGAAGCAAAAATAATGACGATCTGAAACACTCCCAACCCACATACTGTCAGTGTAGTGGTCAGTGCTATTGCTGAACTCCAGATGGTGTGCAGGGACAGGGACACCCCATGTCTTCTTCGCGGTTTCTGCAATCTTGGGCCCAGGAAGAAGAGACCCCGATGTTGAGGTGGGGGTTGGGGACAAGGCTTGACTTTCACAGTCACTAGGAAATCTGTCAGGCCATGTAGAATCAAAGTCAAAGGCTCCTAAGTAGGACAAAGCAGCCATAAACAAAGTGCTGAGACAGCTTAGCTTTCCAGGTCTGTGTATATACTGTCTCACCCTAAGTACACAGACATTGATTTTAACAACATGAATAGTTCTTATCCTACAGAGCCAAATATCATGGAGATGATATATATCCACAGGTGATTAGGGGTTTGGCTTACCTGGGCCTCAAATGCCTATGGAGGAGTCTGGATTTATGTAAAAGAGGATTGGAAGGAGGGAGAAGAGTTCAATCATCACCTGACACAGGGCTTTCCGATGAAGTGCCTTCTATAACAGACTCAGATCCTGCAAGTGACACTCAATACACTTCCAGCACACTGCCCCAGGACCCAACAGCCTGCATGCAATCAGACCCAGCTGGGCTGGGTCTGTTTCCCTATCTATCAAGTTTTAATTCTGAGTAAATAATGCTCCAAGGCCTTCTCTCGAGTGAGTTGTCCGTGATTCTCCAATGCAGATCGACAGCCCCAAATGCATCACACACACCTCTGGCTTCCTATCTTTTACATATAAAGACATGCTCATGTGCCAGGTGTCCTGGCAGCTCCTGCTAATGGTCACCCACTCCGCTAAACAAGAAGCAAGGGCACATTGGGCCTGGGGCTGCAGCATCTTGTTCACTTCATCACCAGTGGGGCTATTGGTATTTTTTCCAACAGCGAGTTTCTGGGTGCTCAGAGGCATGGAGAAGCCTCCCTATTTTGGGACTCAACTCTAGCATCTGTTCTGTGTTCCTTTTGGGGCAGGAGCCTGGCAAAGATGAAACTACAGGACATGGTTGTGATGCATACAGGAGGTTGAGTATTAGCACAGGTGTTGGAAAACTGCCCCCACCCTTCCTGCATTGGTTTCCTGCAGAAGAGCCAGCAGCTTTCCCAAGCCACAGATGGAGGCGTCTACCTGGCAA